GCGCCGTTGTTTGACGCCAGTGTTTGTTTGTCACCAAAGAACAAAACAGTAGTTTGTCTTCTATACTACTGCCTAGTCAAGGGAAAGATGCTGTTCAAAGAACCTCTTCTTTTTGTATTTGTCATGCGACCCTGGATATGCTCGAATCAACAATAAGTATAATAATATTCATTTTCATAAATCAGCATCTATTACAATCGAAAGCATAATTAAGAGGTAGAAGCGTTTTAGCATTCCTCATAAAAAAAAACAAAAAAGAGGTGAAGTTACTCAGTGCAAACTACTGTACTTCGGAAAAAAATTTTAAAGAATATATTCAGTTTACCCGAGTTCGTCAAAGTTGTTTATATATATATATATATATATATATATATATATATATATATATATATATATGGATTTCTTTCACATAGGCAATTTGTCTAATAGATCCTTCATTAAATAATTATCCACTATTTTGCTTGTACCAATAAACTGAAATTTTAGGAAATGCTTCTCACATAGTGATAATTGAAAATTTATCAGTGCGCAAATTTAAACAGGATTTTAAGCCTAAATTTGCTTAAAATACATTTATTGCAAGTGGCATAATACTTAGGATTAAAGTACAAGAAATATTATGTATAAGGGATACTTAATGGATTTCATCTATTTCCAAAATAATTCAGCTTGGAAGTCTGTGAAGATTGGTGCCCATTAATGATATGCTTTGAGATGAATCTCTCAAAGTTCTGGTGTGAAGCTGTGACTCGTTAGGTCAAACAAGTCGAGTTTGAGAACAAAACTAGCCAATGGAATGAGATGATAGTCGCATTATATTGCAAACTAATACAAGTAAGGAAATATGTGCCACCGCATTTGGACTAAGGGAGTGAATGATCAACATGCTCGCCATGAAATATGAAACATGACGGTCCCGGGTTTCATCCCCGATAAAGTCAACACTGAGCACTCCCAAGGAATAGCAAAGTAGAATGAAATGGCTATTCAGTACTCCAAGATGAACAGTGCTTCTCCAACTGATTTCAGCTTGTGAGGAATACTACCTTGAATTTTGAAAGTAATTGCCATGATAGATGGAATCAAACGTCAAAAAACTGAAATTCAAGGCTTATTAAGTCCTTCAACTGAAGCGGAAACCGTCTATTCCTCTTTTTTCGTTTTCAAAATTGAGCCATGTCACTTTAAACAGTAGATGCATCTAAACTTAGCAAATATACTTATTACTTAGCTTTATTTCATCATTATTATATATATATGCTTCTGTGAATATAAAGACTTGTAAAGAAATGTCAACGATTATTTTCATTTTCTACTAACACTAAAATTATGACGTAAACTTTTCACATTTCGGATTTTTCCTTCAAAAAGGTAAAAATAGAAAAAGAAATGATTATTTCATTTCAAACACGTATAACATTTCACTCATTTCACTATCTACAAGGCAGTAAATTCGAGGAATATAGATAGAAAGCAATTTAAGCATTTTCTTATGCAATTTTTTGATGTTAACGTTCCCCTTAATTCTGACTCTTTTTTGATTTTCATTAAAAAATTGATGTTCATTTTAATGGGCGAATATGTTTATCATGTAAAATCCTAACCCTTAAGCATTCATCATGAAAATTTCAACATGGTTAAACAACAGCACCCGCTACAGTATAATTTATCGATATAATATCTTAGAGATATGATCAACATCTGTGAAACTAAACAGAAAATAGACTTCACCTCAGTGGATCTAGGAATTTTTGTATAATAGAGGTAACTGTCTAAACTTCGGTCTTACTTTCATTTTATCACGTAATTCTACAAAGCTAGCCCTCTTTGTCACATACGTATTTGTAGGTAAAAATACATCCAAAAATCAATTCATGTTTATTAAGAACTAATTTGTTTGCTTTGATTAAGTACTGCAAATGACTTTTAAATATTCTCCAATCATACTTTCATAGCAAAATGACTAAACTTGAACTTAATTTTATAACAGTAGTTAAGTTGTACCCTTAACTAAGGAAGCCTATCTATAAATTAAAACCGGGTAAACTAAGGTGGCTTTTTTTCTCTCTTGGACAAATCATCACTGAAAATAACAAAGAGCGTTTAACTTACATATCTATTTATAATTATTCACGTCCACATAACACATAACTCACACAACTTAAGTTCGAAAACAGACTAGAGGAAATGTATCTGTCAGTAAACAAGCTCTAAAAATCAATTTTGACATGTACATAACTGTATCCTGGTTTTTTTCTTACCATCATCACCTAACATTCAGGCATTATGAGGCCTAACAAAAAGCAGCCTACCTAACAGAATGTAATATTTTGTTGATAGGTGGTTATGGCCAATTAGTAGGAAGCTCCAAGCCTAGGTCTAGTGCTTTTCGGCATTTATCAGCCTGTTTTATTTAAAACCATCCGTAGACGGGTGTCGCCGCGGTGATTCAAAACTTTGCCACTCAGTGATGAGGTTAGAAGCATAACTTCTAGCCATGGCTGACCTCTTGTTGGACTAGACTATGTCTTCGAATCAGTCACCAGCAGTTGACCATTGTACTTCTGTCATAATTAGTGTTTAATGGTGGGGGATTTTGTCAATTTAGCTCTACAATATGGCCTTTAGGCTCAGTGACATGATACTGTAGTGCATTGCACCTCGGTGCAGTACTTCCACTTATTGTATCTTTAATCTTCAGTTACACTCGAGTTGCAACAGGTAAACAAATAAAAATTAACTGGTTAAACGTAAAACTCAATTCAGAAATGGAAATCTCATTGGAAAAACATAAGATTGTTGGAAGGGTAAAGGCTAATTGAGCATTATTCAGGGTTTTAAGCCTTGGTGATTTACTTACTAATGATTCAGTGTGCAAAATATTCAAAGCATAGAAGGAATAAATGGTAGAGCATTAAAAGCGCGTAAATCAAATGTAAGATCATCACGCCATAGAGCATAGAAATTGTTAAAAGCTCACACAATACTGTGTTGTTTGAAGGCAGGAAACCCTATTTATGAAAAAAAATAGGGTCTCGGCTTTACAATAACTCCTTCAAGTACTACCACTCTTACTTGTTGGAGGACTTTAATACATCAAATCTAGTTGTTTGATTTCTTAGTCTGTAATTACGATCATTCAAAGCATCACTAGGTTTAGAAGCTTAGTAGTAGGAAGAGGTTCTTGTACTTACTGCACAAATTTTGTAAGTCAGATTTGTGTGAAGAGATAGCATAAATCTTTGAAAACATAAAATAACGAACGTACAAAATTTTCCTAAAGTTGACCTGATTTCTTTTATTTCTCAGTAATACTTTTGTATCTGGTAAAAATTCAATAAACTTTTTGATAAGGTACTTTGTTGGTCGTCTGTCTGTTTTGTAACTGCTTTATAACTGAGGATGATTGTTTAGGGTTCACTTACTATAAACCTTTATATACCTCCTTTTAGTGCATCAGTATAAGTTTCCCCTGTTTAATGTTTCTTATATATGTTGGCCCCACTTCCAGTGTCTTATTCTGCACACTTAACAAATACTGATTGCAGCCAAATGTAGAAATATGCAACGTAATCTCTGTACTTGAAAACGATCAACCTCGGAAAGTCGTTAACTCCGTTCCTTTCAGTGTTCACTAGTCAGGTGTCTCGACATGAGCTTTCCAAAGTTTTAGTGAGAACCCCTGAACTTTGGGGTCACTTAAGTCGAGTGTGTGAAAAAATACTCACCGACAGAATTGAATAACAGGTGCATTATGTCGATAATTGACAGGAGTGAAAAAATGCTTGCCAATAGATTTCGACTCAGTGGTTGAACGGTTAAACGTGCTCACCATGAGAACTGATGGTCCTGAATTCATCCTCTAGTGAGATGGTAGGTGCAAACTGGTGAGGAACTTCTAGCTAGAATAAAACGGTTTTTTTGTGCTCTCCGGTTTTCAGTTGTTCTGCATATAATGTTATTTTATATGAGAGCTACCTTGTAATGTTTTGCTTTACATAATCTTTATTGGTTGCCATTTTGATAGGTTGATTTCGTCGTCCACCTAGGACTCCTATTATGATTTATTTTCGGTATTGTACTCCATATCTTTTACTGCGTAGTAAGATTTTTATTTTTTAGACAAATTTTACAAAATCTGTTTTCCATTTTTTCTTATGTGCTTTCGCTGTTGATTTTAAACTTCTATGCAATTTATCCATTTTAATGACTACTATACATGACTTTCACTTATTTACACGGAGAGCTCACTTTTAGTATGGATTTTAACACGCACCAATAACATTTAGTTATGCGGATGCATTTAATTTTCCTTAGTGATGTAAGAAAACGTAGGCTGTATATGCTTGTGGTGGCTTTAGGCTGCAATCTTTTATGAAGTTTGGAAGTTAATATCACTGAGTAATACTTTCTCGTAGAATTCGACAAAACATTTTTTCATCTAAAGTACATTCTTTTATCCAAAGAAATATATGCATATATTGAACTCAGATGACATGCTAACAAGTACTGAAAGCCATTATATCATAATTTCAACCCCAAAAATTGCAAAAAATTCAAAACTATTTTCGTGGTCACCATTCTTTTTCCCTCCTGTCCAGGAATTCACAGTTTAAAGTACCTGTAACTTGGAGTTGAGTAAGTTGATACTTGTTCTAACACCTTCTATTTCAAAAAAAGCAAAAATCTCACTGTATAAGCTAAATGATTACAGATTTTTTCTGTAAAACAAGTGTCAATTCCCGTTAAAATTTTGAAATCTTTTATTAACTTTCCTGACTGATATGTCAGCTTCTGCCGGTATATAGGTACTTCCGTAAATGATTACAAAGATATGACTTTTAATCCCATACTGATGTTATTGCTCTGTTTTTTCTTCCCCTTTTTTAAATTTTTCTACCTCTTGGAGATATTTTATCAGATAATTAACCTCCTAATACTACTTTATTTATACGTAACTCTTGCTCAATTCTACTTTTTTCTGCTTTAATTTTTTTCAGGTCATCAGCATCAATATTTTTAAGACATACATCAGATGATACATTAAATGAGTCTCTATCATCTAACTACTACACTAGCTATACTAAGGGTCATTATTTCCTGAAAACATTACCTATTTTATTCAAAAAAGCCTTAAATATAAACAAACACAAAACAAATATTTTGGAAGAAGAAGGTGAAACAATTGAACAGGAAAATGATGAGCACATTAGACAAAAACAAAGAGAAAATTATGCTTTGCATGAATTAGATCAACCTCATAGAACAAATAACTCATACCCACACTCACAAACCACATCAACCGTACAAGAAGTATTAGAACTAGATGAAACATTACCGGTATTCAGTTTAGGTAAATCTAATGGATTAACGGATTCCACAACAGAAATTATATACATGAAAGATAATACAGTTGGAAGTGATATCAGTAAAGGCTACTGGGCATCATCAGATATGATTGAAAGCATAAACACTAGTTTATCACATACTACTAACAATCATCAAATTAGTAGTTCTGTAAATAAACAATCATTGAAACCAAATAACAAAACAAAAAACAGTATAAACAATGTGTACAATGAACTGCCAACCAGCAGAAAAGAATCTGATGAACAAATATGGATACTTCAACCAGGCTATATCTGGTGTCAGTCTGAAAATCAAGCAAAGTTAACCATAAGAAATGAAAAACATTCTACTTTGAAGGTAATTCATGAATATTTAATCTTACTTTAATTAATGAGAAAGCATTCTCTCGAAGTATTAATTACATAAAGTATTCATTTACTAAACTCTTTTGGAAAATCAAAACAGATGTTTCAGTGTTTAATATCACCTGTAAAAATCCTTCTCCTTAAAACAAAACTCAATCCATACAAAATCTATAAACAAAGATCCTGGTAGTTATCAATTTCATGTTTAAAATTACTAAATAAGTTTAGTGTTTAAGAAATCTGTATCATTAGAAACTGCAAAACAGAAACATGAAGACAATTTTTGCATTAAAATGTTATTGTTTGTCTTTTAGTAAAGCATATAGAATCATAATATCAGTTATTATTAAAACTGAGATAGCGGTCATCCGAAAAGCTGACGAAAGAAGAAACGAACACCCGAATCACCGATTCCCTTGGCAGCCAGTTGTAACCCACTCGTGGTTGATGTGAAGTTAAGGACAAGTCAGCATCTGAGTCTCATAGTTGGGTTCGTAGATTACTGGCCCAACAACCTTGGGAATACTAAGTCGAACGCTGTCATACTATAGGTTTTCATTTCATCTTCAGTCATCACGTGGTACCAGTCACAGTATCAACAACGTTTATGTGAAGAACACCATCTTTACCCTCTGCGAACGGAAATGTTAAGTCTCTAATAACATACGGACCCCTCAGGTGGACACTAGTTGTTTTGATACCATTCGCACGAGAGGTGTCTGTCATCTATCATTGACCTAGTGGAGAACACTAAGGTGTTTGAAATGGTGGACAGTGGATTTGAGTCACAGTGGAAAAACCATTGCCCACAAAGATGCAGGAACAATCAGCTAAAGAGTTCTAGATATGACGAAATGCTAATCATAAGTTTAACTGTTACCTATTACTAATCGAACGGCATAATAATTGGTATTCAGACAATATTGGGACATTCGAACAGAAGCCTAAATGTCAACAGCGATGAATCAATCCGGTCCACTAAAACAGTCAGCGGTAAAGTACAACTGTCGATAATTACCATTAATATGCCAATAAATATCCACCTAACTCACTCAGTTCACTTAACTGATAACTGTTGAATGGCATACTTAAATTTCGACTGTTTACCTAGTCGGTTTCCCAATTAAAGCTTTCCGAATTTCTCACTGAAGAAAATAACTTACAGTTGGAACCTTTCAGTTTACGTTCGAATATATATATATATCCTCCTCTGTGCTGACTTTGTGTGGATAGGCTTATGCATTATGATAATCTGAGCCAAAATGCAAATATGCTATGTCAAATGAGATTAATATTTGTTCTTATCTTTAGAAACTTAACATTAGCCGGTTGTATCGTTACCTCTGATAGCATTGTTAATGAAATAAAAGAATTAGGTTTGTGAAAACTAGATTACACGAATAGTTAAATCACATACTGTGGATGAGATCAATTTACAGTATGGTGAGTATGAATTCTTTTTTATATTGAGAAACACTTAACATTTTATAAACGTTTATCACATTTTACTTAACCTTACTGAGCTTACAAGAACAAAACATCTATTTATCCGAAATCATAATGGAACACTTGTAGTACATGTAATTTTCCTAAATAATTATGATTCCGCGAAGCTTCTGGGTATTTTTCGACGATAGTCTTACTCCTGACACTAAATGTCGGCTTCCAAAATACTGCAAGCCTGCTAAAATTAAACTTTTTATGTTCATAACAGGGTTCTATGGTTGACAGGCTAACATGTATTCAGGCATATGAATAATGATAACAGTAATAATAATCATCTCTTTATTCCGAACAGTATGTATGATACAGTATGAAGTTCTCACGATACAGTTTTTCAGCACAGTCTCTCCCAGGACAATATTTTCAGATGAAATGATTATTGCGTCTGAATAACGCTAACAACAATAGTATTAGAGGCAATAATGTGAAACAGCCAGCTGGTTTGTGATTAGCTTTCAATCTAGAGTGTAGAATCAAAAGAAACGCAAGTGAAGGTTTGGTGAAGGTGGTTCATTCAGCCAGTACAATAATCTAAAACTCAAGCTTAGTATCCAAGGTATAGAAATACAACATACTTTTGCACACTGAGAAGTTCACTTTCATATAAATTGACATTTTTTTTCTCTGTTTTGTTATTAACTCGAGAAACAGAGTTGGGAATATTTTAAAAATCTGTAAGAGTACATGATACATCCAGAGGATATAGTTAAATGATTAAAACAAATCGAAAGGGAAAAACTTTTTATACATTTCTGATGAAAAATTTTAGTCCCCCAAGGTTCAAACAGACCGCCACGATAATATTGTTCCTAGCCGCTGTAAGATGAATTACTGGTGTGCTTTGTTGAATAGTTCTTTAATCTATTGAAATAGTTAACCAATTGTCCCTGATTCCTACCTCGCCTCGGATCATGTTAAGTTTGGCATTAAAATTTATTCTATAAGTGAGATATGGTGGTTATTTCATGTCGATAATCCTTATAAACTGTTAAATAAACTTCTTAAGCAAATTGGATCCATTCACACTTAACTGGTTGTCTTAAACACGTTATGAATTTGTCAATACTATGAATAAGGTTTCTTCTAAACAATAAATCTGAAGTTATTTTAGCGTAAATTCTCCTCTTAGATACGCAGATGGAAACTTGTTCATGAATTAAGTCTCTAGTTTTATATATATATATATATATATATATATACGAATCATTTTGTTAAGTGTTTCGTGATAACCGAGGCGAATAATTACCTAGTAGACTAATTTATTATAAATCGTTGGTAGAATACACTGTTTCGGATACTAAGTCACACGGATGGATGATTATTTTGCACTACACAAACCGTGATATTAACTTTTTCGTCATCAAATCATATAATGCTGGTGATTTGTCGTATGGCATTCAACTACTATAGATGTCTGTCTGAACTATACAGTGTACAGGTGTTTTGTCATTTGCTGAACAAGTTCTCAAAACTATCAGCTCATTCTGGTCACCTGGCTAAGTATGTATTTTGTCAATCATCCAGCCGTCTCCTGTGATTCTGTAAGGATATACCAGTAGTTATCAGTGTGACTAATTGAGATGGATTTGGTTTAGAAGCCTCGTATTACTGACATAGGGTGATGACTGCAGACAAAATGAAAGTCTGGATCGTTGCAGGATTCGGATCAGCGGCTTTGAGTTTAAGTCTGGCTCAAATACTGCCTCAACCCAGACAATCATTCAAGTTTCAACCACCAGCCAATACAAACTTATCAGTAAATAGCTTACTCACAAAACAGCGCAACCGTAATTATTCGATTGATCTTATCAATATGTGCAGAATTCAGCCACGTATATAATTTGAAAGTAAAGTTTAGAAAAGTTAAATATTGTCTTTAGATGAAATATGTTGTAAACAATTGGAATAAATCTAAATTCCTACAAAGATTTTTTTAAATAAAGTCAAAAGCAGCAGGTGGGTAAATCTGTTTGTAAATCTTTCTCTGTCTATTTCTGACAAACAAGCTCTTTAATACTTTAAATGAACAGATTAGATTGTTAAACTAAATTTTAAAACTTCATCATATCTGCCATTCATGAAAATAACTACTATTCCATCCATTGTGTAGTCTATGCTGAACATTATAGATTTAGACAGCCAAATCCGAAGAAGCGGTAGAATAGAAGTTCGACACTATACACAGCCAACTTGGTAGGAGTGGATATTCTACCAAGTTCATGACTGCACACTTGGATAAGAAGGAAGCTTAACTAAGGACGACAACAGTTTTTCGAGAACTTATTTTCCTGGCACTTGAACTCAAAGGTGAAATCATCAGTGAGATTATAACTCAGTATTTAAGGAGAATCCTTCGCAAAACACTGAACACTACGAATTGATGTCACATCTTCTGAAGCACAAACTTCCTGATTCTACCTGTTCTATGTGCTTTCATTATTTTTACTGCCTCTCTAAAGCCCTTTAAGTAAAAAGTACAATTACACAGGTCCGTTAAAGAAAACTTGAATACCAACCTTCACAGCTGAGTAAAGAGATAAAGACAGTGGTAGATACTGGTAATAAAGTAATAAAGAAATATTATTTTTCTTTAACTCATTTTCAATGTCTAAATGAGGATTTTCAGTGTGCTTATTTTCTTTCAATTTTTTTATTGCGAAATCTCTTAATTCTAGTTAGCATATTTTTGCTGAATATTTAATGATTTTTATAATGCAAACTTACTTTCCTTCCTTTAAAATAAAACTTCTCAAATGTAGTGAAGTAAAGATCTAGTCAACAGCCGGGCATAATAACTCAACTGTTAGATCCTTGGACCGGTAATCCGAAGGTCACTGGTTTAAATCTTACAGTGGCCAAGGTTTTCACTTAACTTTATCATCGTGCATCAATAACCTAAAACAGTTTAGATCATTTCGATAAGGATAATAATAATGAAATAGCAAGGTTATGACTTATCTCACTGACCAGAACTTTTCATCGATCAATGCAACATTGTTAGACCTGATAAAGTCCTGTCAGGTTCAGTCTAAATCCACTAGTAGATTTGCTCGAAAACTGAACTGTAATAGAACAGTTTTGTTGCTAAAAAAATTTTAAGGATGGAATCAATCTTAATATCCTCCGAAAAAACACTTGACAAGGACAATGTATAGAAAACAACAATTCACCTGTCACAAACAAAGAAACCTTCTATTTATCTTTAATGCACAAATGATGGAAAATCAGTCATAATTAAAATGGACAGAAACCAAGAAATATTTCTTGGTTTATGAATTTTTTTATTCACTAATTCCAACAATGTTATTTAAACACTTCGCTCACTTTTTTTATTGATCACACAGGTTTACAATAATATATGAATATGTAAAACTGAAGTAGAGAATAAAAGTGGATTTTGTGAACACACAGTTGTAACCTGTACTTCAGTATGACTTCGATGCAATTGACAGATTTGTTATGCAGCAATCACATTTAAGGAGTGTTTTT